TGCCATACTGACATAAATGAACATTTGCACGATATTCTAATTTTTCGAGTTTCACTTGTATTCTACTTAAGTCTTAAAGGATGAGGCTTTTATGAGATAATAAAGCACTGGAGAAAACAAGTTTTTAAAATGGGAAGGGGTATCCAGAAAGATCTCATGCAAGTGTGAAATCATGTACATGTGAATCCTTTTCTTTTTAGCGTGTTTTCAATATGCATGCAGAATTCATGTCTTCTGATGACAACATCTTAATAATTATATGTACAAACAGATTAAAAAGATTAAATATTTTTTTTCTCATTTTAGATTAAGTGGTTTGGATGAGAAAACACAGCGAGGAATTCCCTCTTTGTGAATTTGCTTTTGTCAGAACCTAGGACAATTTGTATAAAATCAATAAGCAACATTTAGCACAACTGTCTTTTGGTGCACTTGAGCAGCTAAAACCACACCAAATTTATCATAAAAATAATCCTCTAGGCATTTTATCAAATATCAAACAGCAATCATGCTTCCTTTTCTTCTCTACCCATGACAGAGAATTTGTTCTCTGATTTCTTAAGTGGTTAAATTTGGGCTAGCTAATCTCTGTGAAAGTGGGTTCCATTACATGAGTATAAACTGATGGGATAAAATCAGATATTAGTTTAACTGAACAAATACTATTCTTATTTCTCATAGATCTTGTTGCAGTGTAAATTTATTTAGATTAAGATACTTATGTTTCTTATAAATGAGTTGTTAAATAGAAATCTCACTTATAGGTCCTCCAAAGGAGAAAGTGCATGAAGAAAAGGCTGCATATTCAAAATTTAAATTGTAAAATAAAATATATTTCTCTCTGAATTTTTATTTATATTATGCATCTTATTTCAACAGAGATATTTGGTTTTATACATATGTCACCACCTTGATAGATTGTGATAAAATTTTAAGCATTAACATTTTAATTTGAAAACCCAAACATTAAAAAGTAAATTGAAACTGAAATTCTGCTTCAACTCCTACTATGAGTTACTTATAAAGACATATGATTTTAGAGTCCTAATAGCAGCTAATGCTGGCCTACAGATAATCTTTTTCAGAATAAAAATTGTATGGACTATAAATTATTCGCTAGTAGTTTATTATATTAAAAGTGTTCCATTTCCCCCAAAATTGTCTTAAATATACTACACAGATATTTTGTCATTTTTAAGTCCGATGGCTAAATATATTAAAAATCAAATTGGATAACTATATTAAAATCACAGCAGGAGAATGATTTCAAAGTATTTTTAAAAAGTGCATGAAAAACAAAACAGAACCGTTGAAGGTCAACTCAGAGCACAATACAGCAACTCAGTAGCTTCTCAACTTTCTGCAATGCCTTGCTTTCATCCTTTACAAATATATCTTATTATATAAATATAAACAGCAATGAAGACAGAACACAAATTATAAATCAAGGGGCTTTTGAGTTCTCAGCTTTGGCCAAATGGATGGTTAAAACAAGAAGGCATAAAAACAATAGCCTCCCCTTTAAGATTTCAGTAGTAAAGGCAAGAGACTCTGAACATACAACATGAAATTCTATTTAGCTATTATGACTAATAACTTCATGCATTAAATAAATAAAGTTCCAGTTACAGCAATGTAACCAGTTACCAACACAACCTTTTACAACTATGAATTTCAAAAGTTAAGAATTTAGTTTCAGTTAACTGGATGATTAAGTCTTCTTACTCTACAGAAAGGAAATGATCTCTTAGTCATCTATTTTGCATCACATACACATTTAACAACCTTTATCATGCCATCCTTCAACTGATGTAATTAAGTTGGAATTTGTTTTAGTTATTTTTGGGATATGCTGGGAGAAAGTCAAAGAAAAGTAATCCTGACTTGTTCAATTAATTCCTCCATTTTTTTCCCCCCATTTCTTTTGCCAGTGCTCAGAACAAGTAGGCACAGTACAAGATAAATGACTGCATCAGGATTTCAAACTGCCCCCTTGTGCCTCAAAATAAATCAATTTATTTCTTAAAATAAGTTTGCTTGCAAAAAGAAAAAAAAGCTACACCACATTATGGCTTAGTACCACATGCAAATGAGGTATATAATTAAACTATCTGTTAGCCTTTCTTCATAGAGAAGATACTGTTTCTGATACTGCTATTTTATATAAATCCATCATAAACTGGAAGGTATGGAATTGCTTTTTCATTTTTAACAATGACCTTCTCACCCTAAATGTCTTAAAAGTACTGCCAATCCCTATGTCATAAATATGAGACAGTATCGTTAAAATAATACCAATAATGATTTAGATAAACATTAGCTGTAAATAGAAGACACAGTTATGGTAACCTGCTGCTGAAATGGCAATACAAATGTTTGAATGTGACAGCACTTCCACATTTAGAAAGCTTACCTTCCTTTTATTGGCTATGAAAACCAATACTGTTTCCTTGACATGCATGCATGCAATGCACTCTTCTCTTTAGCTAGCTTAATAATTAAAATGATCTTCATATGAATATTGAGGACTACTGCTGTACTGGCCCCCCTACCTTGCAGCAGCCTGAGTTACTCAATGCTGTGCTGAGGTTAGCAGTGGAGTTCCCTGTGTGGTACTTCAAGCCGCCTTCCCTGGGCACAGAGTCTCAAGTGACAACCACAGACCTGACCCAGATCATGGAAAGCCCAACAGACCAGTGTCGCACATTAACTTGGCTTTCATCTCAGGGTAGTGGCAAAATGTAATGGTCTGTAAGAATAACCTTGAAAGACAGGAGGGACAGCCACAGCCTAGACAACGGTCTGATGAGAGAAATCTGAGTCCAAAGCAGGAATGTGGGTGGAGAGTGTCTCAGGACTGACCCTCCCTAGTTCTCTGGAATGTAAAAACAGAGGAAGGGGAAAGTGCTTTCAGACTTGCAAGATTCTGTTACTATAACTTTGCAATAAAGGTAGTATTAGTACTCTTGGTTTTGGTTTCCTAGTCTGGACTACCTTGAAGGGCTGACGTCAATCTTGCAAGTCTGAAAGTTTTAAGAAGAAAAACCACTATAAAATGTGATATTAAGAATGGAATTTCCACAATGAGGTCCAATTGCAAGACAAACTAATTCAGCAAAGGCCAAGCTTGGCACACAAGTGTTCTTATTTTGTTGACCTATTGATTTCCAGGAAGAAATTGTGACAGTTTAATCAATGTCAGCATTGGTATCTGAAGAAACTGACAGCACTTTTAGCAAAAGCTAAAATAATTAAAAATGACTGCACTGTAATATAATATACTGTCAAAGAAATATATATCATACCTCTGTCTCAGAGAACTGAACAAATACTCAGTTACACTGCAATTTCCCCCAACAAGAAACAGCCATAATCTGGCATTTTAATTCTGTTTTGAATTAAATTTCTTGACAAGTTATTTAGTGTTAAGATACTTTCTATTTTTATCATTTCCATACTGATTCAGCAATGTATTTCTACAATGTATTAAAAAAAATGAATCTTCTCAAAACTTTATACTCACGCATCAGGCTGTAAATGTGCTTTTCTGCAACATGTTCCGTAAACAGTTTTATAAGATCGTTTCTTAAATCTCGGTTAAGCTTGGTTTCTATGTAAAATTTATTCTGCGGGAAAAAAAAAAAGATCCTTTTAAATGACAGCAATATAAAGGCATTGTTATAGACTACTCTTGTTCTGCCCTTCTCACAATCCAATGCATTTGTCTGTGTACAAAAAACAAATAACGCAGTGAATCCAGTAAGAAAAAAAAAAGTTGAAATATAAATGCAAGCAAAATGATTATTATTCCCAGATTAATTTATATTCTGAGAGGAATTCCAGTTTTTATATCTGGAAGATTTTTTCAGAAAATAAATTCTTTTTAAGAACATTTCTATGGGGTTCTTCAATTCCAAGAATATCATTACAGAAAATGCAATTACCAATTAATGAGGGAGGATTCAATTTCTGAATCTGGAGCTATATCATCATGCTTACCGATTGTCAAATATTAAATATTAAATAACACAAGTGGTGTTAATTTTCCAATTTAGGCAACTTTGGAATATACATATATAGCGCCTTTGGCTGGATGGACAGTATTAGGATCTAAATATACTAAAACTCTAATATCTCTGGAAACAATTTCATCAGTTAGAAAGCTATGGAATGGAATGTCTAATAAAAAAAGATTTGACCCTTTTTCCCATGGAATTCCTCTCAGAATATAAATTAATCTGGGAATAATAATTCTGGAAACAATTTCATCAGTTAGAAAGCTATGGAATGGAATGTCTAATAAAAAAAGATTTGACCCTTTTTCCCATGCCAAATTGACTTTATGGGGAAACCCAACTTTAAGATGGTGATATGGAAAAATTGGATGGAAACATGGGTATTGACTTTGGACCAACTGAAGGATGATGATGAATTTTTAACACATTCTGTGTTAAGAAATAAGTATCATCCATCAGATGTAACCTAATGGCAATATTTAGAGTTAAAACATTTGTTAACAACATTGTTTGGACCAGCAGCATTTTCAGCTTCTGAGATACCTGAGATATTAGAATAACTAGTTAAATCATTTAAAACTAAAAAACCTACTAGTTTTTATAGATATTTAGAATCAATAAATCAATTTGATATCCAGATGTTAAGAAATGAGTGAAATAAAGAATTAGTGGTTCCTATACTGTCTAGATAATGGGAGAGTGTTTTAACTTATATAGCAAGTGTCAATGAACCTCAAACTTTGACTTATACAACAAAAAATAATGTTTAGAATTTATTGGACTCCATTGCGTTTGTATAGAAAAGGATTGTCAAAAACAGCATTTTGTTTGAGATGTAATAAAGATAATACTTCTTTAAAACATATGTATCTACAATGTTTTATACTTACCAAGTGTTGGGAGAACGTACTACACTATATAAATATGATTATGCAACAAAATCTAAAATGTTCAGAGGATAATATTCTCTTGACCGATATACCTAGCATATGGAATCTGACATCTGGAGAACATAAATGGATTCTCCGTGCCCTGCTGTACTATGGCCAAAAGACTGATATTGCAGCATTGGAAAGATAAACGTATGGCCCCCTTTATTCAATGGATTGAAGACCTGATTGCACTTGCTACTTATTAATGGATTGCCCATAGATGTAGACCTTGTATGGACAAGTATAATGAAATATGGGACTCATTTATACAAAATACAGTAGGTTTTTTAAAAAAAATGATAGTTACATAAATGTATTAGAAATAAATATGTACTTGCATAATATTTGCATTAGGCAAGTATATATAGAATTGTAATTGTTTGCTGTTATGAGATATTAACATTTTTTTTTCCTTTGTTGGATTTCTTTCACTTTTTTGTTAAAGTACTATGTGTTTTTTTTCTTTTTCTCAATAATAAACAAATAAACAAATAAACAAAAAAGAGCTATGGTCTTCATCAACCCAACAGAGGAGGGAAGAGAGCTTAGAAAATAGTGTGATACAAAGTAGTGGGACTGGAAGCCATACACAGAGTGTGGACACATCCAATAATGAGTGTAAGAGAACCAGTCTCTCTATCACATGCACAGGGTATGAGAATTAAACAGGAAGAACTAGAAGTCTTAATGCAGGAACTTAAATATGTTTTAGTAGACCTTACCTGGTAAGACAAAACTTCTGAGTGAAATGAATGGCCCACCTCTATTATGGCTTAGTGAGGTAAGTGAACCCAGCCATTTTCTATCAATATAAATGTTACACTAGATCCTAACTTCATTATCAACTCTTCAAATCAATTCATCACTGTGTAAAAGGCAGAAGCCTGGATATTCAAGAAGCTGCTTAAGGGATTGTACTACTATTCTCTGGAGAGAGTGACAAACCCAGGATTATATATTTGGTGGTACAGTGCTTTACAGCTGAGTAAACAAAGGCAGGATTGCTTCATTGTGATGCGACAATCCTTGTTTTCAGTGTCAACCTAACTTCATTGATTTTTTGTTTTTGTTTTTTTTAAAAAACTAGTTAATACATTTGTTGTGTTAAGGCTCTAAACACAAACCCAATAATTCCTAGCATTTAGAATTCTGATGGAATGTTACTTTAGCAGCCGAAACATATAAAGTAAGCAACACAGTTCAGAAGGAAGCTTTTCTTTCTACCTATTTTGTTACTCTTTAACACAGGAATTGCACATAGTATCAAGCAATTGTTTAATGCCAATCTAAGAACAAGTATAGCAGGTAGGCAATTCTTTCTCAAGGCTCATCTTCTGCTGATCTACAGCATTGCTGTTCCTTAATATCAGACTTTTCTCCTCTATAAATAAGCATAATTAAATGCAACTCAACCAATGTCAAGAGACAAGATGTGCCATAGCTTCTAAAATGATGATAAATGTTAAACCTTTTTACGCCCCACCCCCCACCCCCGGTATCTCTTAGTCAACAGGCAGACTGGTGAATAAGGAAAAAAACAAATGGTTAATGTTTCTAAACCTCTAAAGCCATTCAATGTTGCTATCAAAACTGAGTGCTTTATGCTACTTCCTCATCCTTTGTACTAGTACACAGAATAACTGAATCATAACCAAATTCCATGCATTTTCTGGAAGGAGTTGTTTTTGAAAGTCTTTGATTAGGAAATTTCCAGGAAAAAAAAATCCAATTCCTATAAAATTTTCAAGAGAACAGGCATCATAAACTACTCTCCTCCCTTTACCAGAAATGAGAAGTGAGACCTGCAACTAAATGTGATCTTGCACAGCTGCTAAACATTCCAATCAACCACTTCCAGGCAGTCTGTTCCATTGTTACTTCCACCTAATTTCTGTATTCTCCCATAATTAATCAACATTCTATAGGCAATAAGCAGTCCTGGGGCAGGATTCCCCAGATTCTTCATGATACATACCAGAAAACTCTGGTGCCGATCTAAGGGCACCAGGATTTTCTAATGTTAAAAAGTGGGGAATATGCTCACTTTATATAGCTTCTAAAATAAGTTAAAACCCTTCTGCCTACTGGTCCAATCCAATGAATTACTGTTGGATTTTTAATTTAAAAAATCAGGCCAGAAGAAATCTACACCAATAATAAATAAAAATGAAAACAGTGTAGATGTAATCTGATCCACTAATCTCTCTCCTCTCTTTTTGGCAGTCATTAGAAAACTGCATCAAGGTATCTAAAATAAATAGCACTGGCTTTCCTACCTGAACCATCTACATACTTATAGCTGGAAGCATTTTAGTGTGGATCACTGCCTAACTGCAATCCAAACACCTGCATATTCCATAGAATTTGCTGGCAGGCTGCTAAATAAGTATCTAATTTCTGATATGCCATTATCACTCAATCAGTTTATTGATATGACCGCAGGTCACAAGAACATGACATGGCACAAAAAGGGAGTGCAATAAGTGATAATAAAAATAAAACAACAGACAAAGCACATGAGAGATTTAAGTTAAAAGTGAACCAATACTACAGTTATGGACCTAAATATTTCTTTCTGAGTTTAAAAGAAAGCATGACAAAGGTAGTAACCAGACTGCTAACAGTTGGGATCACCATGTGAGGTAGTTCAGTCATTCAGCATCTAATCCCTTAAGTTTATAACCAATGTTTTCCCCTGATTTCACTGTAGATAGCACAGTAGAGGACATAATGGATAATGTCCTCAACTTGGCCAGCACAGAGAGGCAAAGGTACTGTTCCATGGGAAGTTTACAAAATCTCCCTTCAAGGTATACAGAAAGCATGGTCTGAAAACGCAGAGGCGTAAAAGCGTTCCTCAGTGAAGGGTTAGTGATATTGGCCAGATACTGGGATAGGCTATTGTTTCTCATAATGGTAGTACCAAGATGAAAACTGTTGTAAAAAGACTGTACCACAATAGCATGCTGTTTGAAAAGCTTATCCCTGATGTTTTTACTGCTCCAAAAACTAAGTTCCCTAGGAGACAGGAAGTACAAGTAGGATAGGAGAGAGGAAACTGGTCCATCAATTTCTGGCAATATAATCCAAGAAGCAGAGTTTAATTAAATAGTATTCTTGGAGGCTCATTTCTTATAGTACCTTAAAAGTGCAAGGTGAATTTTAACAGAGATTAAGGGCAACCCCACTTCCAACCTAAGAAAGGCTGTAGGAGTGCTCTGCGGAAAGGCACCAAAGACAATAAATACAACATAAAGTTATTTTTTAATATCCATTAATGTACTTTTGAATTTAAGGCCTTCAGAGCAATATAGTGATCTATCATATTATGCGCTTTACAAAAACCTGTCTGTTCTAGATGTAAACAGTTTGTGGCTTCCTCTCAATCCTCTAATTTATTAAGTGAACCACATATGTAACAACTTAACTCCTTCTTGTAAACAACAAAATAATTCTATGTAGGCAAATGAGCAGGATAACAGGAAGGCACACCATTCTGTATTTATACTGCTACACTGTTTTTCTGTTAGTCATAGATGAAAAATCTAGGGCTTCTTCCATAGCAAGCCATATCTTGAAAAACCCCTCCTAAAACACAGACCTGTACTCTTCTGGATTAGTAGATGATGATGATGATGATGATGATGATGATGATGATGATGATGATGATAGCAGATTTTTGTAAAATATTATCTGTGGTCTGATGGAGTTTCAAATATCAAAAGCCCTTGAGAGGTCTAGAAAATAATTAATTTGCCTAGCATTTTAGAGACCTCCTTTCCCTCCCCTGCTGTTTCTTTTCAGTGTAAATACGTGATCTACCAGATATTTAATATTTCCAGCCTAACTATTCACTGCTACCTATATGGGCCATAGATTCAAACAATGGAAAGGGAAAAAAAAGTACAAATGATGCTTGAATGTTCTTGTGATATTACACAGATGGAAAGTTAGCACAAATTTCACTTTTATCCTAGTCCATTTCTGAAATCACATTTTAAAATCTCAACATAACACAAAGTTCTTTTAAATCCTTGAACTAATTGTAGAATGTCTTGTTCTCTCTGGCAGTGTTTCTTTTCATGGATGGTATGCCTTCACTGAGTCATCTAAGCTGTGTAGCTTTTATTTCATTAGAAGCATTTTACCCCACCTTTCAAAAATCTTTCCTAGGCTTAAAGCACCATGCTATGATGCAATAAAAATTCATATAATAAATTAAGCTGAAAACAGCAAATGAAAAGTATCTAGTAAAGCTAATTGTCAAGCATTAACACTAAACATCAAAGCATCTCTGCTTTGCACTAAAGGGCCAGAAATGAGGGCCACCACCGCAATACAATTCAACAAGCAGAGCTTCCAACACTTCCAACCTAAAAAACACAGGCAGGGTGATATGGGCACAGATTATCTTCTATAACCTAACCCCCAATCTAGTACTTTGAATGGACTCAGAAATGCATTAAACACAGGATTGATGTAATACATTATTTTCTCAAGTCTTAATATCCATCTCAGAATGTCTAAGCTGGCTCCAATAAAAATAATTTTATCCACAAAATATAACACAGATTCATCCATTGGGCTTGAAACAGTTCTACTGTATTCAATAAGACCCCTCTTGCTGGAGGCAACTCCAGGGATGAGCAGCATTGTGGAGATTAGTAAAGCAACTGATTATTTTTTACCACCACACTGAAGAATAAGACTGAGAATGGATTTTACTTGTACTGGTTCTGTCACTTTTGCTTAAATCACTAGTCCAATTATTTCATTGCTTTTATCTCAGACGCAAAGAGCCTTTTTTCGGTCGCCATTCATTACACTTCTGACACTCAGAATGGCCTCTGATAATCTCACTATAACAACCAGACTTATATCAAAGTAATTCATCTTTAAGTATCTGCTCTTAAACTGTTGAAGGGCTTTAAAGGTCAGTACTGGCAATTTAATTGGGCCTGGGAGGCTATGAACCAGCTTATAGAACCCAATTGTATTTTGAATTTACAGTAGTTCCTAGCCCATTTTTAGAGAAAGCCCCCATACATTGCCCTACAGTAGCATAACACAGCAGTTATCAGTCCTAGATAGGTAATGGATATAATATGTGAAAAACTCATAACACAAACACTGTCTTAAGAGGATTAAACTGTTTTAAGAAAAATGCAGCACCATCCAGAACAAGTCAGTCATACGTTTCTAGACAGATCAATTATTTCTCAACACCACTCGATCATGGTTAGATTGAGTTTCATATTGTTCCTCAGTCTGCAACTATTTAGTCTTGGGAATGATTCTCTTCATTTGTTGAATTAGATGAAAAAGAAAACTAGAGCTGTGTGGCATCATACGATGACATTTAATTATAAATCTCCAGCTTATCTCACCACACACAATTTAAGCGAACAAAAGGAATTCCTCAGCACGTACATCATATGGAGGGCAGTAGTCTCCTAAATACAACCTCTGAGATTGGCCATCAAAGTACGAAAGTATCCATCATAGCAGGATGCCCCAATTCCCCATACTGACCACCATGATACAAGGCTGCAGGTTTTCCATGCCTGCTTAAGGGACTATTCTCATTTGGTCTTCTGCATTTCACTGGTGTACTCTTGCCTTTCCTATTCTGAAAGTGCAGATAATGAGTTCATCTGCGCAAATATTTATTTAATCAACTTACAGGCCATCTCATGCTTCTCAATGTATTTTTTTGCATCTGTTTCTTTTGTTTCTATTTCTACTATGCAAGGGATTTGGGGGAACAGAGGATTTCTTCCCCAAGAAGACTTCCCTTTACTGAAGGAATCCTTTTTGTCTAATACTTTCTTGATATAACCCGTTATTCATGCTAGTGACCTTCTAAATTTTTACTGTAATTTTCTTGATCTGTAACATACATTCTAGTTTCTGTTACTGGAAAGTAAAACAAACTCAGCATATATAAAGGTTTAATGCCACAATCATTTTAATGCTATGCTCAAAGGCAAAATTCTGAATGCCCAATGTAGTATTACCATGGATTTTACACTAGGAGCAGCATATGCATATACTTTTTCCTTGCCCAAAAAGGGCAACCCTTTTCTGACCATATACACAATCCAGAGAAAGAGACATGTAACATACAACAGCACAGCTGTGATCACTCTGGTTTAAATCAACCAGAATGAGGCTAATGGATTACTAAGATGAATTCACTCTGCGGAAGACTAGGGTGATTATTCCAACAAGGTCCTGGAAAGCTAGATGTGATTTCACAAAGGAGAAAAATATGAAGAAGGAATGGAAGCCTGGAAAATAAAAGTATCAAAAGTTAAAGGACAAGCCCTTGTCACAGCTAGAACCATAATTAAAGTGTAGGACCATTGCCTCCCAAATGGATGGAAACTAGTATTAACTGCCCCCATTTGCGGGGGGAGGGAGAGAGAACTAAAATAAGCAGAGGAAATTAGAAAAGCTGGTTGTTCATCAATCTCTTTCCTGACTCACAATAAATATTATATGAGAACCCAGTTGCTGATATGGATAACTAGTAATCTGGCTAGTTCTTTCCATTCAAATCTAATAACTTACCATATATATGAAAAGAGGCACAATGCTCTGTAATGCTCCCATATACTGCCCAAGTGCTATGTTAAATCTTTCAATGTAGAGATCTGGAGGGCTGGCCTGTAAAAGATAAAAGAAAACAGATCTCTTATGAAAATGAAGGGAACCTTAATTTTGGCATAATCAGATTGGGCTTGAAGATTTAAAAAAAACAAAACCTAATGTGAAAGATTAGAACTGATTTAAAACAAACATTATACCATTAATGCTTCATCTACCCACCAACCCCAACCCCTTGCAAACTTCAAGGAAGAATCACTTTGACAGTCCATGACATATTAAGTATATGTATACTATTAACAAGTTCATTCTCCTTGGGTATCCAAAATGGCACAATCTAAGAAAGAAAAGGAAGATATCAACAAGAAAAAGTAGGGGGGAAAAACAAACTCCAGAATTGGAGTATTCACCCTCAACCCAATGATACCTAAGCATGCTCAGTACCCAAATGCCAAGGGTTGGGTGGGAACTGCATAAAAGAGATGGAATGTAATATTCTGAGAAAGGTTATCGCCCCCCCCATCTAAGTTTATGCTATATATGCAGACCCTATGTGAGGAGCTCTGTCAAATGCATACTTTTAGATGGAACTTAGTAGGTCCAGTATAATATGTCTGTGCTAATATGTCCAGTGAAATTCCAGAGCTATAGACAAGATTGTGAAGTAAAAAATATTTCTTACAAAGAAAACAACATGGATATGTTCATAACATTATTAGGAATTTAGCTTGGCAGAGAGGAGACTTTGTCTTTTTTACTGACTTAACATTTTTTTTAAAAGTATGATGAGGTCTTGCTGAAAGGATTAGGGTCCTCCATAAAAGGAACATAAGGTAAGTACATTCAAAGAAGTCACAATCAGGTTAATATACTTGTCTTAAATGGTTTGAAGTGCATCATTTTCTTCTCTATTCGTAATTTAGAATAATTACTCTTCATTAATTAAGTTAATCAGATAATTGCATAATCTAGGCATAAAAAAATCCTATGTCATACATGCCATTCATGGAGGGAAACAGAAATGGTATAACAGTGCCCAACCTAGGCCTTTCAAATGTGCAGGACTACAATCTCCATGATTCTCAGGCAGCCGGCTGCTGGCTGGAAATTCTAGCAGATACAGTGTCAACCCATCTGGAAGGTATCAGGTTGAGGAAGGATGGTCTAGCACAAGTTCTTCTTCAAATCACTGCAATTTGGCTTAACTATGGTACAGCAGTGTATCTGAACTTTGGCAATTTTAAGGTGTGTGGACTTCAACAGAAACATGACCATATTGTAGCACATTAAGTGTTGCAAGATGCCTCCTAAACCACTTTATTCAAGTCACTGTTTTCCTCATAAAGCTTCAATGAAAGAACACAGGTATTCATGAACAGTAATGCTTTTTAAAATAAAACTAGTGACTATACTTCCATTCCTTTAGACTGATAAATTTCCTGACTACAATTCTATAACTATCAGGTAACAAGAACAGTGCAACCCCTAAGAAACACTGCCAATGGGAAAATGTAATATGGCACATATGAAAGGCACTACATTTGGGAAAGTGAGTTTAGCACACATTTCTCACAGTGTTTTCTCAATCTTAGTCTTTATAAACAAATGTGATTTTCAGATAATATTAACTATTCTGAGGGTTAAAAAAGTATGAGTTCTTGTGTCCCTAACTAAAGGTTAATGCATATAATTATATAATCTACAACATTTTATTGCATACAGATATTTGCTTTTCTTTCTTAGCTGATTATATTTTCTCTTAATAGTACCTCTGTTTTTCCATTGTTTGTCATGTCTTTATTATCTGGCAGCAGAATCTAATAAATACACATGCATTTGCTTATAATTTCTCACAGCTATTTATGTAAGTTATTGCTCCTGCTGCAAACCACAGAACAGGTAAAATTCTATCACCAGTGTGATGCTCGTGGTTTAGAGATGAAACCAACTCTAGTCTTATCCATTTGCGCAAAAGCAAATATTATTTTAACTTCCACAAGACTGGCAATAGATATTTCTTTCCTGTAACATCAAAAGGATCAGCAGCAATTCCACCATTGTAGAATAATAGGCTTTACATGTTCAAATCTCTCAGGCAATTTAGTGGACAGTATAGTTCAAAACTAGGTAACTGACATCTCCAGCTAGTTCTGGAACTAAGGCATCACGACTAAATCTTGTAACGGAGACTACATACCATCCCATTTCTGCTCAGAAATCATTATCTGAACTTACCTAGTAAACTCATATAGGACTGTGGCCTTAGAATTATAGACTGTACTACATAATGCACCTCAAGGGCTTTTACAACAGTACATGGAAGACAGATTGCTAGCTTTGCTCCATTTGCAAAGCCACTTAGAAAGAACAAAAGCCTTCAATGATCCATAGCAAAATGAAATCATCGTTATCTTTCCTAGGTTCCAACATATACACTTAAGATGGTCAAATATATGCATTATTCAGCAGAGTCACCTAACACAGACATCCATTCCCATTTTGTAGCCTAATTTGCTTTGCTTTAATTCCACAATAACAACACTGACCACAGTTAACCTCAAAACATAACATACAGCAAAGGTTATAATGAATTGCAGACTGTGGTTTAGTTAATTATGACAGTGTTACTTCTATAATCAAAAAGGAACAAGGGGTAACATAATGAGGAAGGATCCTGTTTATTTTTAGAAATCCTTAAATCACCATTTCTGGGTTTGAACATCCTGAGAAACTGGTTTCAAGGATTTCCTCCCCTCCCCTTGTAGGTTTAGTTTTGGCAGAGGGAAGCAAAGCAGAGAAAAAGGAAAATGGAGTATATAAGTATATACTCCATATAAGCATTACCAGTCCAATAAAATCAAAGTTTAAATCAGATCAGGATGATAATTGGGCTTTATTAGTAATCAGGAACTTAACAAGACTTAACAAGTTAAACTATTTTCTTCCAGCTAAAATGACTCTGTGTTCAACTAAAATCAAATACTTAATCCATTCAACCTTGTGAATTATGGAAAATGGAGCAAAACATGGCAACTTCTTTAATGCTATCCAGAACAAGGAACAATATATCAAATTAGTCTTTTAATAAAGAAAAGATCTGCAAGACTCGAAACAGAAGAGGAACTGAAAATCAAGACATCTGTGTGCATTTTCCATGCACCAAAATAGCCTAAAAGTTTGCATCCCATGACTAACAAATGAAGGGCATGCAAAACTTTCAGATTTTAAAACAAATCATATATATTCCAAGAATTTGGCCTTATGCTTTGAACAAATCTTGGCTTTGTCAAACAATATTGTTCTGAGTGGTCCAGGCTGTTCCAAGTACTACAACTGAAGTTTTGCTTGGCAGCTTTTGATTGGTTTGTTTTTAATCTTTCAGGCCAGCCAGTCAGCACAGACTGACTGGTCCCTCTACTACTGGTTGATATTGTATAAGGTGATATGGGCAGGAGGAAGCAGTGGTTATTAAGCACTTAGTTCAGAGATAAGGAGCCACTATAAAATCTATTCTGCTGATGCTTCTGCATAGATAGAAGACTGCTTTTAACTGTATGCCTGCTTAGCTATCTAAGCTACTTCTGTTTTTACAATTCTTAAAATAGCAAATGCCACTAAGGCTGCTGAGGTTCAAGTAACAAAGTTAACAGCATGGGTTGGTTTGCTGAATGTTATTATGAACTTTCACACTGTGTGTTGTGTCTTGTTAAATTCCCAGTTACATTTAAAGCAGCAAAAACTTTTGTTTTGCCTTATTAAGCTTCTGATGTTGTTTTTGACAACAACATTCAAGTAGTTTGCCATTGCTGTCTTCCAAGGTGTTTTTTAGCTTTCCAGTCTAAGTCTATTGCCACAGGATTTCCTAGTGGTCTCCCATCCAAGTACTAACCAGGATTAACTCTACTCGACATTTTTGAGACCAGCTAAGTTTGGCTATGACTTTTATGCTTACATAAGATAAACAAAAGTTAAAACAAATCACCCAACTTTGGGGATGAAATCATAGGTGCCTTATAAACGTTTCATGGGAAAAAGGCTTAGGGTCACATTTGACAGAGACTGTTTAAAAAGTCACCAAAGTGACTATATTTATTTTGAAATAATTTGTGTTCATTTGGCTGTACAGTCATGTATACCTTGAAGAAAAATATTTATTACATATATTTCAATACTGCCCAGCTCCCAAATTCCTATTTTCATTTTCTCTTACAAAACAAGATTCAAAGAGAAAATAAATACCATTTAGTTTTGCTGAAAACAAATAAAAAAAAAATTAAAAGCCCTTCATTTTGTTGTCTTTGTAACTATGAGGACTGTTCCTGTGTGCAAAGAATAAAAATAATATAGAAAAAGTAAAAATAAACCAGTATTATTATCACTTAACATGTAATCTGCAAGTGAATATTAATACATTTAACCAAAGAGTCAGTGAGATCCAAAATACCTAATTCACTGGAAATGAGTAATGGTCATGGAATTTCACTGCAGTACCTTTCTCAGTAAAAATGAGGAAACAACATTAGGGAAGCTTTTGCAAGTAATCAACCTTGTCAGAAGACACATATAGTGCCATTTGGCAAGTCAATCATTTAACATCCCAAAATATGGTGATGAAAATCTCACAATACTCCTATATTTGATTAGAAGTCCACATAAACAGAGAAACATTAATGTTAGACAGTTCTCCAATCAATGAAGTTTGCACAACTGTGGAACTTAGTCTGCCACTATTATCACAAAGATAAAGAGCAAAATGTATATACATGACTCAAACCAAACAGTACATAAAGTGACTATGTTACACGAAGTCTTATGTAATAATAAACTGGCTAGTCATTAATATCATTCAGAGGAAAAACACTGGGAAATAAGGGGGAAATTGTGTGAGAAAAATTGTATTTTTTATTATATCCGAATGTAATGGAAGGTATCTGCAAGGAGGAGACTGGTATGGGAAATCAAGGCTGTCAGGAGGGAGGTAGTGCATTCCAGAGAGGGGGACAAGGCAAGTGCTTTCTCAGTCCACAGTAACACCATGAGAAGAAGAGGTTTGGACTAGC